TCGACGCGTGGTAATTCCAACGCATAGTAATTCCACGCGTGGTAGTTCTACGCGTGGTAATTCGACGCGTGGTGCTCCGATGCGTAGTAATTCCACGCGTGGTAATTCGACGCGTAGTAATTCCAAGCGTAGTAATTCAACGCGTGGTAATTCCAATGCGTAGTAATTCCAACGCGTAGTAATTCCACGCGAGGTAATTCAGCACGTGGTAATACGACGCGTGGTACTCCGACGCGTGATAAATTCGACGCGTGGTAAATTCGACGCGTGGTAATTCGACGCAAGGTAATTCCAACGCGTAGTAATTCCACGCGCGGTAATTCGACGCGTGGTAATTCCAACGCGTAGTAATTCCACGCGTGGTAATTCTACGCGTGGTAATTCGACGCATAGTAATTCCACGCGTGGTAGTTCTACGCGTGGTAATTCGACACGTGGTAGTCCAACGCGTGGTCTCGAAGTCTAATTCCCAAATTTCTATCGTCTCTGATTCGACAAATATAGCACTTACACTACACGTTCTGCGACCTCGAATTTTAGCCTGTATTTTATGAATATCGGCTGGTATATTTCGACACATCCCCATTTCTTCGTTCCAGATACACAAATTCGAACATCGAAACGTAAACACAGCAATCAACGTAAAACGTTGCATACATCGAAGGATAAATCAAGTAAACCAGAATGGAGGAACTCGACGAGCAAATCTTTTTTTAACCGTACTCGTAAATGTTAGCCTTCGGAGCGTTGGGAATAATTGTTACGCGAGAAAGTGTTTCGAATAAACGTTACGATACACGTGCGCCAGCGCTCGTGTATAACTACGAGTTTACCATTTTACTCGCGAACTTCCAGAATGCAGCCTCGACCCCGGAAATTGCATGGCGTGAATTTACTACCTTGCCCTTCGACAGCTTGACTGAGTACACTTTCCGGTAGGACGTGTCAGACGATCAGCTAGTGTGCCCGTGCGCACTTACACCGGGTCTTTTCGCCGAGTAATCGAGAAACGTGAAACTCCTGCCGAGAGTAAGGTGACTATTAATCAAAGAAAAAGTAATGAAAATCGTTCGCGGGAGACTGGTAATCCGTCTTGTTAATATGGAATACAATCTGTTACTGGGCCGATTTCGACAAACGACTTTTCAAATTAAAACGCCCGATGCAAATGTACTCCAATAAAAATGGAAGTCAAAAAGGTCGAAAGCTTGCACAAAAACATGCAAAAAAATATTCTACTAATTGAGTCGAAAACGTTCAAATTGAGGTCATGGGTTAATGAGTCAAGATACGTTGCTTAAAATGTTTGACCTCAAAATATGTAACCGGTTGATGTTTTTTGCATACATGCA